AAATGAGGCAATATCATCTCCAAGTATAACAGTTTTTAAAGGTGGAAAATACTTAGCCAGAAATTTCTGAGCTAAGTTACCCCAAGTTTTGATAGATCTAGTTGCTAACAAATTCAACCACATTTTAGCTTTATACTTTAAGTAAAAGGGAAAAAGCCTAAGTCTACCATCGTCGTTTGAGACACCGTTATACTTGAATGTGGCAGAGAGTTTTAAGAGACTTGCTAAATGTAAATTTGAGTCCTCAGATGGAGTTCCCCCAAGCTGGTTGTTCTGCCCATCTGAATAATAACAGGATTCAATTCAAATGTGATAGCTTCCACGATAGGAGTTTATATACTTTGATGAATTTTATCTGTCGTAAGATTTGTATAATCCCTTATTGGTCTATGTGTGTTATGAGGTTCATTTTCAAATGTTTGATTATCTAAGTTGTTCTATTGATTATTCGCCATTTTTTCTACAAATTGGTGAGGTCCTTTTTATTTTTTAATCCTTTTAATTGTCCTTTCTAATTTAGAATCTTAGGGTACAAGTCCTGAAGATCTTGAACTACACATACACAACTAAAATCTCAATAAGTATATTACAGATAAACACACAAAACAAACACTCAAATAGAAATTTTTTTTCTTTTTTTAACTTTTAACACACAAACAAACACTTACACAAAGAAACTACAATACAATCATCTAAAACTAAGTTTAATTAGTTCAGTTAAAATTTTTGTAAGTCAAATTAACCATCGCACATCCCCGATAACGGCCCCGAAAACTTGATCGACTTTCGGTATACCCAGTGATATATGGATGAAATATTATAATTCTAAAGTATATTTTATAAATTTTATAACTAGAGTTTTTCCACGATTTAGCACCACACACTAGGTATTTTATGCAAGTGCACATATCATTCAAGTAATATAGGAGTTTCTTTAGTCCAAAATATCGATCCCACAGAGAAGGCTGTTAAATTTAAAAACTATAGAAAAGTTCTAATTGAATAAAAATAGTCTTAGCTTGGAAATTAGTTCGATTTAGGTTGTGCTAGTGAATTCTACCAAACTATCACTAATCCTATAAATTTACTATAAAACTAATTTTACTAAGGTTAAAGAAGTTGAGAGAAATTAAGCTATTAAAATATCATCCTTTTGCAATGAAAGTAGTAGTTTGTGTAGGACCGAAACACTTAAAATTTACATTAAAATTTGTGAAAAATAGGAGCATTTATCTTCTTTATCCTCTTTCGAGTGCATAAAGAAGTTAGGTTTAACTAGGTAAGTTTCTTCCCATCACCCTATAATCCTCCTAGTTAACCACAAAAAAATTATCTCCCTATATATTTGCATTGATCTAAGGATTACGTTTCCTTCACCTATAGAAAAATGTGGTTTCAACTAGATGTTAAAGCCATAGCCCTCCCGAATCTATATGGATTCACAACATATTTTAACATACCGAATGACCATATCAAAATGTAAATAAAGAGCAAAGTAAAAACCATCAAAATAATAATTGATAATGCATTCTAAATGTATCCGCATACCTACACATATTATTAATTCATCACAAGAGGAACAAAAAATCTACTCACAATGCATTTAATAAACATAATATCACATCATCTTATAATAAAGCAAAGTCATACAAAATTAGGGTACATGAATACAAGACAATATGAAATAAAGACTTATCTTTCTCCCTAAGAATTGAAGAGAAAACTCCTTCCCATGTGATCTCCAAGTTCTCCTTACACTGCTAACATCGATCCCTTACAATTTCTCTCAAATCTCTAAAAATAATGCAAAAAAATGAGAAACCTTGATCTATCCTCCCCTTTCATGCACTCCTTTATTTCTTCTTCACTTCTCCAAAATATTCCTCTCTCTTTTTGAACAACCTCCCCCAGAATTCAAATTCTATGTAAAACTGCTCCAAACACTGTCCAGGATAGCTCTGGCGCCTAGGTGCAAGTTTGTGGTGCCTAGGCGCTACCTTCTGGGAATGCCTGGGAAATCACTGGTGCCTAGGCACCAGTCTGCAGCGCGTAGGCACCGCCTTCTCTATTTGTGGGAACATTTGTGGCGTCTAAGCGCCAGTATGTCGGGAAATTGGGCATTGTCCGACGCCTAAACACTAGAAGCAGGTGCTTAGGCGCCAGTTCACTATTTGCTCCATTGCTCATTTCGCCTTCTTTTCGCTGCGTTTCAGCTCCAATTTGCTTCAAATCTCCTACCTTTGATACTTGTAAAAAAAAACATAGAAAACCTTCCTTTATAGTGCAGTTTCATCAAAAATAAAGTATTAAATATAAATGAAAATTTAGCATGCTACCAGACATGTCACCAAACTTAAGAGTTTTACATGCCTGTTGATAATTTTAGAATAGAAAAACTGACGAGGACGTCCGGTACTTAAGTGGGGGAGAATGTGAAACCTTTTTAAGTAGATTGATGTCAAACTATTAAACAAAAAGGTATCTTTTGTTATAAAGGTGAAAATTTATTACAAACTCTAAAGTTAAGCGTGAATGTGATGGAGTAATCCTCGGATGGGTGACCTCCTAGGAAGTTGCACCAATAAGACAAAGTTGTGAGGCTTTTTGGCCAAAACGGACAATGCCTTGTTGGGTGAGAGTTTGGTTTGTCACAAAATTCTTCTGTTTCACGTGACTGGAACCGATGAATTTTTACCCTTAATCCCACAAAAAAAAAAAAAAAATCAAATTATTCTTGCTCTTTAAATTGAAAAACAAAGCTATGTCACTTGTGTTGAATACATGACATGGTCTCTCATGTTAGACGATGGTGTAGTTAAAAAATACATCCGATTTCTAAGATATTATTTTAAAGCCTCCAGTTCAGCTCCAACAACCAGTTTTGATATGAACCGTGCTCTAGTTAAGCTCCGATAGAATTATAAAGGCTCGAACTGACTCGAGCTCTGCATAAGCCCAAATTCTTGCTCAGTTTATTATTTTATCTTTGCAGGCCTCAAAACTATGGGCAAAATAAAATCAATTTATTGAGCCGGGAGAGTGGCATGTAAATTATTTTCAAAAATGACTTACTTGTACCTAAAATACAGATACAATGTATGAAAATCATGTTAGGAAACACATATATGATCTTGGATGACAATCAATGTTTTTGACAAAATTATGTACCACATATCTAAAATTTTAATCTTAAGCCTGACATATGTAATCTAGATATTCCTTCCTTTTGATGAGAACCATGGTTTACATATCATAAATAATAGAATAATTATGGACATCACATCTCAGCATCCAATTAATTTCTTTATTAAACCACATATTCGTCTAAAATAAAAATACTAAATAAAAACCAAATAAATTACAGAATTTAGTCAAATTTAATAGTTATAAATAAAATAATAATAATAAAAAAAAAGAAATACGATACCTAATGAAGTTTACTTTAGGGCTGTCAAAACGGCTCGTTGTTCGCGAACAGCTCGTGTTCGGCTCGTTAAGAAGCTTGTGTTCGACTCGTTTTGGCTCAAAATACTACTCATCAAGTTTATATATATATATAAGTAGTATTTTAAAAAAAATTAATTGATTACAAGGCTATAAAGATTTATAATCAATTAAAATATTAATTAAGAAAATAAAATAAAAATTCTTAAATTGGATTCAAATGATGTTTTAATATAAATAATAATTTTTAAATCTTGCTCAAACCCTTATCGTCTTATGGCTACGTGATTAGGGCTGTTAAAAGGACTCTTTGTTCTTGAACAGCTCGTGTTCGGCTCGTTAAGCAAACGAGCAGAACACGAACACACTTTTTGAGCTCGAAATATAAACAAAGAGCCGAACACGAGCGAGTCGTTTACACCCCTAGTTTACTTGTAATAGTGGCCCTTTAATTCAAGCACAACCGTTGATAATAAATATGACTTTCGCAAATGCTATATGCCACTATAGTAAATTGATCTTTTAGTGTCACCATCGTAATTAGGAAGCTTTTCGTGCTGTCACTTTTACAATCGATTAACTTTACGGTGCAGTTAATCCCAACCCATCAATTTCAGCTGCTGTGCTTGTTTCCAACGCAATCTCATGTCTGTTTAAAAAATTCTAATCAATCCAAACCACATTTTGATCTTTGCTCTTGATCCAGCCATCCAGCCATCCAGCCATCCAGCCATCTTCTTTATTCGACGATGCTTAATGCGCACATTAGTCCGCTATCATTTGCTGAAGCACACATGCTTGAACTAGCAAAAATGGTTTGGCAAAAGGCCATAGAGCATGGATGCTTTTGCTATAAAAAAATTAAGAATGACAATTATAATTATTAGAAGATATACATATAAAATTATTGTTCAAAAATTTGTGATGGTTATTAATTTTTTTTTTAATAAGTCAAATTAAAGCTTTCTAGTATGCATCGCAGATAATGAGATCTAATTAAAAAACATAACTTTCAGATGCAGTGTTTTAAGAATATTGACAAAATGTAAATTTGTCAAAAATACAACCACACGACATTACACCGCCACGACACCGCTGCCTCAAATGCTATTATCCTAGATTAATGGTTTCTTTGTGACAGCTGCAGTTATTTGATGGAGCAGCTGTATAGCTACTGTAGAAAAAAAATAATTGTTTAAAATATTATGATGATTATTTATAATTCTAATTTATTTTGAAAAATTCATTTCATAGCTTCCGAATAGCCACAAAAATTATGGAGATCCAAAAAAAAGGAAAAAAAAACTTTCATACCATAAAACTCAAATGAGAATAAAAAAAAATAAAAAAATCAAAACCCAAAAAATCGTCTAATTATTGCGGAGAGTGCATGCAGAACTGCGTGCAGAGAGCGCATGCAGAGCTGCGTGCAGAGAGCGCACACAGAGCTGGAGCGCACGCAGAGCTGCATGCGCTCTCCGATCACAACCACGCATCGCGACTGTATGACAGTCGGTCCCACTATCAAACAAAATATCAAGGAACAATTTTGAAAAATTATTTAATATTCATTATAAAATATCATAGAACAAAACGATTAAAATCCCCTGCAACCGTCCTCTGCCCTTCCTCCACTTAACACACCACCACTCTTAACTTTAATCCAAACAACATTTTATAACTCCATAACCAAATAAAAAAAAAAAAAAAAAGAGAGAGCAGCAGCAAGAACCCCCCACCAAACCTCCACTACCTCATCACTTCTTCTGCTCCGCCTCCTCCTCCAACTCAAAAGCCGAAGTCGGAAAAGACCGAGAAAGCCCAGCCGGAGTCTTAAAAGTAATCTTCCCCGAAGCCGGATCATCAATATACATATCGGAGAGCGAAATCCAGATCAGTATCTCCTTACTCTTCACTCCACTTATCTTCTTCATCCGCCGTTCTTCGACGAACGCCGTGACCTCCGGCGCGTACGAGACAAGCCGTCCGATCTTCTTGAAGGTGTGATCGGTGCGCTTCTTCTGCTTGAGCCATACGAAGCCGGTTTCACGATTGTATCCAACTTCCTCGAGATCGTTTAGAGGGAGGAGGCCGCGGGGAAGGTGGACGAGCTCGAGGAGTTCTATGGATTTCGACTTGCAGATCTCGTCGCCGTGGTAGATCTCGGCGCCTTCGCGGTGGGTAGCAATTGATTGCTGCGTGGCCATCAGATTATACTAGGGTTCAGACTTAGATTTGGGAACGGTTGTTCTGGAGTGATGGGGTTTCGACGGAGGGCGGTGGGAGGGGGATTGCAGTGAGGGCCGAATATATAGGATGAGTAAGAGATAGATTTAATTACGGAAGTACCCCTGAATTAGTCGAGAGTTATGTGGGTGTCGGTCATAAAGGTAGGCGGAGGGGCGATAGTTGGAATTGGTTGGGCAAATTAAATGCCTTCGTGCTTTTGTGTAATAGTTAAGAGGGTACTGATCTGTATCTTTTTAACTATAAAATTTTCTGTTCAGACTTTCGACATAACTTTATGGTGGATGATGCGTGCTAGAAAATTCACGAAGGTAGAGTAATGGATTATTGTCTTAGCGTTGCACGAAAATTCAGCACACACTCAGATAAAAATGGATCGAGCTGTGATCACACCAGAAGTTTTTACGTGAAAAACCCGTAAAAGGGAAAAACCACGGGGCCTGGCCCAGTTGTAGAAATCCACTATAAGTTTATGATTACAGATGCCCCTTGTCCCACAGGCGGGAAAGGGTTACTAGTTTTTCACGTTACAACGTCGACTGATGACGTCTAGTAAGCGGTGGTTGACGGAGGTCAGCGGTGGCTAACAACAGTCGATGACGGTCGGTGGTAATTGACAGAGGTCAGCGGTGATTGGCGGCGTTCAACAGTGGTCGGCGGTGGTCGACAGAGGTCGGCGGTCGTTGTTGACGGTCAGTGGCGGTCGGCGGCGACCGACGATGGCGAGGATGATCTTGGACTTGAGCTCCTTCTCAAAATTAAGCCTCATTTTCTTTCATGTGAAGGGTGAGACTCTATTTATAGTGTTTAGAGTGCAATTAATGCAGGAATATGAACCATTTTGATCGGACGGTCCGGAGAACTTCCTTGGATCATATGACGTTTGATGGACATTTGAGTGTCTTAACGATATTGGAATTGAGCAATCTTGGGCTCGTTGGATTCATCTTTTTGAGACGCTCGATTCGTCTATAAACTCGATAGATTCGACATCCTTTTGACCTTTCAAATGCCTCCAGAAATCGTCTAGTAGTGGTTTAATGACTTGATCTGGGAGCTTGATTTGATGAGCTTGATTTGACTCGAATTGGACTAACTTTTATATCATTATGTCCGTTTCATCGAGCCGATCAGTTTTGACTATAAGTTTGTTGAAATCGGAGTTCCGGATGACTCGTAATCGAAGTTTGAATGTTCGTGCTCAAAATATTGCATCAAGATTCGTGTCATGCATCGAGATTCGTGCTGGATTATGATGATATGTTGGTGGTATATCAATGGACTTTAATAATATATCGTCACGTGTATTATATCGCGGAGGTTATTTCAGGCTTATTGAAGTGGAACTGTGAAAGTTATTTCAGAGTTATTAAAGAGAAACTCAAATATTTTACTTCAATAACTCTGAAATTGCCTAAAAATAACTCTAAAATAGCCTCCGCAATTCCGCTTCAATAACCCAGAAATAACATCGTGGAAGCTATTTCGGGGTTTTTTCTGTGTTATTTCAAAGTTATTGAAGTGAACTATGTGGGTTTCTCTTTAATAACTCTGAAATAACCCTGAAATAACCTCCGCGGTGTTATTTTGAGGTTATTGAAGTGAAACTGTGAAGGTTATTTCAAATTTATTTCGTGGTTATTTGAGAGTTATTGCGGAGTTTGCAGTTCCACTTCAATATCATTTTAGGTGACCTCGATATAGCACACATGACGATATATTACTGAGAGCCCGCCATAAAAAAATTTCACCTTTTTAAGCGGCATTTTCTTTTGAAGCTTAGTCTGAACATTTCTATCAAGACTTTACTTCGGTATTAAGGCCTTTAAAAGAATTTGGCAGAACGCAAAAATCGTTTCATGAAGCGTATGATTTGGAAAGATATTGGAACAGAAAAGCCTCCGAATTTGGGAAGCCGTATTTCGATCGGATGAGTTCAGTTTTTATTCCTCCAGTCATATGGCTATTTGGTAATAATGCAGCAATTGCGGTGGTCCGTCTTTACGTGGCTGTGGAGATTACAATATTTGTTTGTCAAAAATTAGACTGAGGCGGTGGTGGAGGATGGCATTCTTAAATGGCATGAATAATGGTTATGTGCCTGCTGGGTTGCATCATCATCAGTTATGAAAAGGATACACGCGCTAGGCATAGAAGATGGTTCTTTTTTCTTTAAGTTATAAATATATGTTACATATTCTGTGATTTATTCTTCATTGTTTAAAAAAATTCATAATATAGTGAAAGTCATATATTTTTGCCATCCCTCGCTCTCTAATCTCTATCTCTTAATCATGCTTTCTCTCGCCGTCTTTCGGAAAATATTTGCGTACATCCAGGGGTTATTCAGGGGGTACATGTGGGTTATATCGGGGTTATACCCCGCTGTAACCCCATGTAACCTCTTTGTAAACTACCTGTAACCTACAAATGAGTTCCGCGCTTCTGTAATTTCATGGGTACAAATAAAATTACACGGGGTACAAATAAATTACACGGAGGTTACAAGGGAGTTACAGGGAGGTTACAGGGGAGTATAACCCGAATATAACCCCCTGAATAACATCTGACGTGCTCAGCGCTGCGTACTTCTTATGTACACAAATATTTTTCCGTCTTTCACTTTCTTTCACTCTCTCCCAATCTCTCTTTTTCTTGGTTCTCCCGCTCTTGCTTTCTCTCACTCTCCGTCACTTTCTCATACACCTAACCCTCATAATCTTAATTATTAGCGGAGATCTATCAATGACGAAGCTCAAGTTCGATCAATTGTTACTCGTCGCAATCAGTATAGCTTGCCTCTTGAATTTTTGTAAAGATAAATTGAGTTTTTGATGAAGCGGCGCAGTAAAAATTCTTTTATTTAATTTCAGTCTGGTTTGGCATTGCAGATTTTCCCTGAATCTGCAATTATCAAAGTTTAGAAGGGTGTCAGTGAAAAAAAAAAAAGAATGAACATGAGATTAATAGGTGTATTTTTATATAAGAATTACAGCCCTATTGCAGTAGCGTAATTTTTTTGCCGAAGAAGGAGAGTGAAAATTAAATGTTTATAATAATGGTGAACAAGGGCTCTCCTAAGAAGAATTTTTACCTTTGGTTGAAGCTCGTGTTCGGCTCGTTATGGCTGTCCAAACGGCTCATTGCTTGCGAACAACTCGTGTTCTGCTCGTTCGCTAAGTTAACGAGCCAAACATGAACAACACAAACAAATATTTGTTCATTAGTGTTCGGCTCGTTTTGGCTCGAAATACTACTAATCAATTATATATATATATATATAATTTAATTGACTACAAGGCTACAAAGATTTATAATCAATTAAAAATACTAATTAAGAAAATATAATAAAAATTATTAAATTAGAATCAAATAATGCTTTAATATAAATAATATTTTTTAAATCTTGCCCCAACCCCTAATATATTATGACTACGTGATTAGAGTTATCAAAATGACTCTTTGTTCATGAACAGCTTATGGTCGGCTCGCTAAGCAAACGAGTCCAACACGAATATATTTTTTGAGCTCGAAATATAAACGAGTTGAACCTCGTGTTTGGCTCGTTTACACCTCTACATATCAACCAATTTCTATATATTTACATATCTTATACTTAAACTTTAGTTTTTTTCATTTAAATAACCAAAATTCTTAATATCACATCCACCAAATATAACTAGACTTTCAATAAAAGGTCTATTTTTTTGCATCACTTTATATATATATATATATATATATTTGTGTGTGTGTGTGCGGGGTGGGGGGCAGTCAGGAGAGAAGATGATTTGGTAGGCTGGGACCCACTTCAGATAGTTTGAGAGTCCACATTTATCCGTCCAATACATGTTGGTCGTGAGAAATATAACTCCATGATGGACAAAAATCAGCTGCCTTCTCAAAGGGTCACCAGGATGAACCTCACACGGACAATCAACCAGGATTCCTCATCTAGGTGGGGCGGATGTTAGGAGCCGGCTAAATCTTAGATAGATGCCCGACACCTTTTAGTCAACCCTTTATCTCTTGCAATGAAGATCTACATGGATTTTGTGTTTGTTGTTTTCTCGAATATGCATGGCTAATTTTTTTCGTTTCTTTATGAAGTAGAGATAGTGGTTTTTCATCATTATTTTCCAAGATATTTTTCCAGTAATATTTTATTGAGTTATCATGGCCTATGTTGTTGGTTAACCTAATAACTTAATTTACTTGTAGTTTGGTCAACTAGGATGTTAAAATATTTCGTGAAGCTACAACTTCTAATCTCTGTGTAGTGAAAATGAAGGGTTAATCACAAAATTTTGAGGGAATAAATATATTCCAATATAATTTTGCAATCATTTGAGAGGATCAGAACATTTATGCGGAGTGCCATTAGGATTGAGCAAACCTTTACTTCATGGATTCTAGGCTTCTTTTGACTTAGATATAGACATCATAGACATAAAAAGTAACATATCTCTGATTGTCAACAATCACGTAGTGAAACATTTAGGAAAACCACAATCACCATGATCCCTAAATTATAGAGGCTTGAGCCTCATACATTTTCAAAGAACTCTTAAGATTTTCCCCTCTTTCTCTGCTTCCTCTACCTGCGATCTATCTTGTTTCTTTAGAATTTCGGGATTCAAACCTTCTTTATAAAACCGCAATGTCAGATTCACCAGATTCGTAAACTAAAGAAACAGTTGTTAAGACTTTTATCGTGGGATCGACTCATGAGAAATTTTCCTAAGGGTTCTCTGGTCATAGTGAACCTATCAAAATTTTCTTGGATTTTTCTAAGCAGCATGCTGATTATTATGATTAATTTAAGCAAATAATGTACATAAAATTGAAAAATATTGATCTCTGTCTAGAGGTATTCTCTGAGTTTGGAAAAATCAGGAAATGTTCCTCTTGACAGAGTACAACATGCCAAAATTTCAAGTCATGGTGAAATGCCTATATGCATGGGGAATCAAAAGACTCAAAATAGTGTTTAATTAATTAAAAATAAAATATGCATCAAATGGACTTCAAATTATTTCCACATTATTCTCATCTGTTCACTGA